GTCATAGGCATCCAGGTTGATCTCGCAGAAGAATTTATGGTAAATGGTGCATGCAGTGGCAATGGGAATGGAGTGCATCCCGAGCTTGATGCCTGTGGAGAGAGAGATAGGAGAGTTCATCACCAGGCCCTCCCCACCTACCGTGCCTGGGGCACACACTCCATGCAGACCAGAGCCGGCAGCTCTGGCAAGGCCCTAAGACGGTGTGCAAATGAAGGCGCCCGTGCAGGACGCCACGCTGCATCTCAGCCTCCAGGTCCCGCCACAATCCAAGGTGACCACCACTCCACACGCAAGGCTGCGGGTGCTGCTCAGTTGTTCCTGGACTGTGAACTGGGGCCAGAAAGGATCATCCACTGCCGCATGTCTGCTTCACGTGAGTCACTGCAGAACTAGAAGTCGCTGGCCCTGCTGCCCACCTAACCAGGGTCTTGCTAGGATGACAGGAGGAAAAACCCCGTGAGCCAGCAAGCAGGTGCCAGAGATGCCACAGCTGAGTTACAGATCACACTCAGCACTGGTGTCTTGGTCTAGACTTTAGAAAAGGTGGCAAAAGCAAGCAGGATGGCTGATGAGACAACTATGGGCAGAATAGAGAAAAAGCAACACCGATGCCATGCCAGGCCCCAGGAAAGGAGCCCAACATGCGCAGAAGTGAGCCGGACTTGAAAGCTACAACCGGTAGAGTGCGACAGTTCAGGGCCAGAGCTTGCCCCACCCATCCCAGCCCCAGACAGGTTCTCCAGAAATCACTGTGCTGAGCCACGCGTGGTGCTGCGTGCCTATCATCCCAGCTTTCAGGAGGCTGAGGCAGGAGAATGACTTTGTGTTCAAGGCCAGCCTGGGCTACATACTTGGAGACTTCAAGGGCAGCCTGTACTACTTAGACCTTGTTTCAAAACACCAAGAAAGGGGAGGGAAAGGGAAGGGAGGGGAGAGAAGTAACCACTGTGCTGGGTCACAGAACCAAAACCAATTCCAAAGACCAGGGTTGGCTGGGGAGATGGCTCAGTGGAATAAGCGCTTCCCTGGCAAGCGCAAGGACCTGAGTTCAATCCCTGGTTCCACCAAAAAAAAAACAAGAAGCTGCCAAAGACCAGGGTTAACAAGACAAGGTTAAATGACATCCCATAGACTGTGGCTCCTCCCACCTCTCTCCTATGGGGACAAGCATGGTGACAATGGGCCTGCCCTAATTATCTAGGACAATCACTGCATCTCAAGGTCCTTGATCATATCTGCAAAATCCCTTTTGCTATGTAAGATGGTACCCAAAGGTTCCAGGGATTTGGACAGGGCCTCAATATACAGTTCCTACAAAGGACAAGGAAATGCAGTAAGTTTTCCCAAGAAGTCCTCCAAGAGCCGAGTGTGGTAGGAATGCCTACAGTCACAAAACTCAGGAGGCTGAGGCAGTCTCCATGAGTCTGACGCTAGCCTGGGGTACACAATGAGTTCAAGACCAGCCTGAGGGCCAGAGATACATACAGCTCAGAGGCATAGCACCTGCCTGGCAAGCACAACCACATGAGTTCAATTCCCAGTACCAGAAAGAAAAGCAGACCAGCCTGGACTACACAGCAACACCCTGTCTCAAAAAAGAGAGTGACACCCAGTGCTTTCGGCATGTCAAGATCTACCCGTTAGGACCCCACATTCCCGGACAGTCCAGACAAGAGGCTGTCGCTGACATGGTCCTCTGAGGGGACCAATGGTAGCACACAGAGGGGCCACTTCACTGCTATCCTTCTTTAGAACACTTTGCAAGGAACTCACACGGGTCCTCCTGCCTCAACTTCCCAAGAACTGCGATGACAAGTGTGTGTTACCACACCTGTCTTGCAATTCTCGAAGATCAAGTTAAATGTACTCACTGCCGGGATTAGCGGCTTTCTGCCCACCCCACCTGAAAGCATACTCACGCTGCCGGTGGCCAAGACTCCCATAAAGCGATAAGGAAATCGAACGAGATAACAGCAATAAAGAAACAGGGTTTGTACAGAAACCTCAGTGGTTTCCTCGCCTAGCCCTAGAAGCAGAGCGCCAACACTACTGGGGTCGCCCTGCAAGGCTCAGAACTCAGCTGCACTCTGCAATTCGGCAGGACGGGGCCCCTTCGACCGTGCACCTGGCTGTCAGCGTGCAGGGACAGGTGTGGCAGAGGCGTGGTGCACAAGACAGAACTGTGGGAAACAGGCGACCAAACATGGGCAATCGGACTCCGGACTGCCTCAAGGTTCAAGGCCGGCACACTGGAAGCCCCAGGAAAGCAGAGGCCCCTCCTCTGGGCCGGGCACCCCCGCCTCCACGCAGGCCTCTCCGCCAGCCCGCCTCTCCCTGGCAGCTGTTACCTGCCTCCATGATGAACCTCGTTACACGAAAGTGCACCCTCTCCACTGGCGCCGGCCAACCCTCGGCCCCAGGCACAGCGACTACTCCTCCGCAGCTCTGGGGCCCCACGGCCTCCATGAGGCCTCACCGGAGGGTGAAGCGGCCCCCCCCCCACCCCCCGGCGCGCCGAGGCAGGCTCCGGGGATCCTCGCGCCGGCCGCCGCAGCCCCACCCTTTTCGCAGGCCCCGCCCTGGCCCTGCCTCTCCTCCCGCCCCCGCCGGGTGAGTGCGGCTGCGCAACGGAAGGCGGCCCGCCGAGCTTTGCGAGCGCAGGCGCAGGCGCAGGCGCAGAGGCGGATAGCGCCGGGAGGCTGGCGCGTACCTGCTCACGTCCGGAAGCCGAGCACCCAGCCTCCGGGAGATTTACGCCCCGCCTCCGGGAAACGCGCACCACGATCTCGGATTGCCGGGACTGCGCCTGCTAGCAGATGCCTGGCCCCTGGGAAATGCAGACTGCCGTCCGTCCCAGCAGGAACTGACGGTTCAAACTGAGGGCGGGGTCGGCAAATCCCTCTGGCGACTTAGATGTCGTCCGGGCCTAGTGAATAGGCAGTCGACACTAATAAAAGATGTTAATATTTGGAAAACCCAGCCCACATTTTCAGACCTGTCCGAAGAGACATACACAAGAGACCCGAAGGAATTGCTGTGCAGAAGGCAAAAAGGGCCTTTTTAAACGGAGGAATTAAGGGCATCCTCAGTGGATGTAACATTTAAACTCTGGCATACAGTAGCAGCTTACAGAGTGTTTGCTGAATGAATGTTGAATATCAAGCTCACGCATTCATCATCCCGTGTTTCCTTCGTGTCTTCCACAAGCAGGAAATTGGGCATTAGGTGTTAGGAGCTCCCAAGCTACTACCATGACCCTAGTCCTTGTGACTCAGACAGTTGCTACGCTTTGAACTCACTGGGAATATGGAGACGTAAAGGCCCTCCTTCGGGGAAACTTGGAAATCTCCACCTGCTGCCTCTCCATCCTCACCACCCCACGCCTCCGACCCCTCAGCCTTCTTTTTTCTTTACCTCTTGCAGTGTGGTATTCGAAATGAAAATGAGAACTGGCACCCCGTCTCTCAAAAACGTGGTGCCTTGAATCCTCGTGCTGAGTATTCATTCATCCTGCTTATTTTCATTGTGCCAGTTTCCATGATCAAACTTTGGTTCCCGTACCTTGTCCTGGCCTTTCTAAAGATGACGCCCTGCGCAGAGAGGACACCCTTTTCAAGACTGCATTTTCAAGTTGTGATAAACACTGTCAGCCAATGCGATTGTTCTTAGTGACCTTGCACTTGGCCCTGGTGCTTGCTCTGGACCTTGACTTGCGGTGGGAGACAGAAGCTTTTCAGAGTACCGAACTCTGGGAAAATGACCCCTTCTCACCCGGAAGCTTCATGTCTAAGGGTCTGGAGCAAAAGAAGAGGAAGATCAGTGTTGAAATGAAGGTGACAGATGTGCTGAGAATAGCAACTAAGTCCAAAACTGGCTTCACTCAGGAGAAAGTGGCTGGCTCTGGCCCCAGTGTGACTTGCTGAATTGTCATGGTGGTCAGCTAACATGACAGAAGCCTTTAAAAAAACTTGGTCAGAAGATCCCAGGAGTGTTCTAATTTTCATTAGTACTTAGGAAAATGCCTCATGCAGAAGTATGGACAATACAGCACTGCTCCTTTTGATTTTAGTTTTACCTTCTGGCCCGGGGTCTGGGTTTAAATGGGTATTGTCTGTACCAGTACCATTAAAATAAACAATATTTGTAAAAGCCATAAAAAAAATTTATAATTTGTTTTTTTTTTTAGGGGCTGGAGAGATGGCTCAGTGGAATAAGCGCTT